TTCGACCCGCTACAGAACGGGTCAATCGATATTTCTGTCACGGAATGGGTCAATCGATATTTGAAAAAAACTAAATTGCGGGTGCGGGTGCATGTCAAATATATTTTACCTAGAAGATGTGCAGATTGTTCTAATTTCAATTGTGGGTATCCGGTAATCTGCAAAAATAGAAAAAAAAAATTCAAAAAATTATTTTACAAAAATTTACTCAATTTTTTTAAAATAATTCTTTTTTAAAAATAGATATTTAATTAAAAATATACTATTTAATATTATTTTTTAGAAAAAAATAAAAATATAATTATTTTTTATTAATAATTATCCACAGGTCGCGCTGATTATCCGCAAAATTAAGTGGGCCGGATATAGATAAAATTTTTTTTTTTTGGCGGGTCGGGCAGGGCGAGTTTGACCCGCTTCCCAGCATCAAGTGTAGTTAATTGATATTATTTTTCCAAAATAAAACTACACAATTACATATAATAAATTTACATAGCTATTGATGATAATAATAAATTAAAATCTATAATAATTTTAGAAAGTTATATTAGACAAGAATATTTTATATCATCAAAGCAAAAAAAAACTTATCCATCCATATATAGATAAAATAACAAAAATGGTATCTGCGCATTTTAAACGCGGGTCAAAAACTAGTATTTTACTATAGATGAAGTTAAGAATTAAAATAACTTAAATAATAGGAAATATTTTAATTCTTAACTTCATCTTTAGTAAAATATTTCACAGCTGTTTCACAGCTATTGAGTAAAAATCCTATGTTTGTAGATCGTTGAGAAAGGTTATGACACTACAAGAAAACAAGTGTCTAACGACTACACTATTGGTTGTTAATTAGTCGTAATATGCCATTTACGACCAATTAACATCGAAAACCAATTGGTCGTTATTCGCTAGTCGTAATGCACAATTAGTCGTAACGTAGTCGTAACATTACGACTACAAGCTTTAGTCGTAACCTAGTCGTAATATTACGACTAAGGTATTAGTCGTAAAGTTGAGGTGACACACGTAGTCGTAACGTAGTCGTAAATCTATTAGTAGTTTATTAGTCGTAATAAAGTTAGTAGTTAAATAGTCGTAATGCGTGTAGTAGTTCACGAGTCGTAAACATTAGTAGTTACTTAGTCGTAATATTACAACTAAGTAACTTCGACAGTTGTTGTCGATTAGTCGTAAATCAAAGACTAATTTACGACCAATTTAGATTTTATTTTTAAATAAAACGATTTTTTAATTTGATTTTTTTTTTAATTTTTGATTTTTAGTTCGATTTTTTTTTAGAAAAATAATAAATTTTAAATATATATATATAAAATTATATTTGATTAAAATAATATATAAAGTATTCATACAAAAAACCGAAAAACTAAGGTGTTTTGTTGAGGTTTATGTTTTGGAAGAACTCAGAAGAGTGCTGCTCCGCACGTCGATCCATATCCACTTGCTCTTCCGGAGTGGGGTCGGGGTTAAAGCTCGGACGTAGAGCTTGCCATGCATTGGCAACCGTCGGGTTTGGGTTCGAGGTCTCCATCATAAGATCGAACATATTCGCCATAGCCTTGAACTTGTCTTTATGCTCGTCTATGA